CTCAACTTCAGAGGAGAGAAACTCGCAAAGGTCCACCTGCGTCCACAGTAACACTGAAAACACACAACAGGTTTGACAGCATTTAACTCCCAGCATGCTTTGCTGCAGGTGATGGGCTGCCTGGCCGACAAGAAGTGTGCTCAGGGTCAGAGGGTTTCTGGGATCCTCGTCAAAAAAAACTTCAACTATCACATCCTGACGCCCTCCGACCTCTCCGGTTAGTAACTGTGTTGTATGTGTTCATCTACCTTTGTGAGGACCAGTGAGAGTTTTTAAGCATCACTGTGAGAACATTGTGGTGCTACTTGAAGGACAGGTTAAAGTTTTAAATGTGGTTTTAATGGTCTGCACTGAGCTGCACCAACAGTTCATAAGCTCAGATGGAGTTGTAACGTAATACTGAAAATAATAATCGACTTTATTTCTTAAACAGAGTTACAAACTGCTTTGCATATGGAAATTCTGATTTATAAAATTAGATGAACTGGGATCACGAAAAGTATATAGTGACAATAAATGAATAAAGTGAAGGGGTCCTCTCTGACCCTGGCCTTCCGTTAATCATGTAAGATTTATTTGTTTATTGTTTAATTAACCACAGAGGGAGTTTCGGATTCTTTTAGGCCAACTTGCCACACTGTTGATTTTCTTGCGTCCCTGAACACATCCCTGTGCGTTGTGTTCAGGTTCCCTGAGTTTGCTCATCGTCTCCTGACTGTTTCGTTCCTCTTGTTTGTTCAGATTACACAGATCTGTGTATGGGCACAGTGACACAGAGTCAGGCCATCCCGTACACCGGACCCATCTCCCTGCTGGTCAGCCAGCTACGAAGCCTGGCAGGTAACAAACCACCTGAACTCATCTCTCACTGCTCTGTGCATCCGTCTGCTTCAGCTCAGCACCCGACAGTTTTCATGCTTCCTCCCCACACTCTGCTACATGAGCGTTTAGTTTCACAGCCAGCTCGACTCATTGACTTCTCCACAGCAAACGTCTGAAATAAAAGATTTCTTCCTTCTGTTACATGATAGTAAACTGTTTAATAACATTTGAGATGTCACAAGTATGTTTCACTCTTTTCTTCAGGCCTAACACATCTTTAAAAAAACATAGAATCCCATTCCTCCTGATGTAGACAGAAACATGTGTAATGTATAGATAAACAAAACATCCTGCAGCCTGGTCCGAGCGTATTTTCGGTGCGATCGTGTGTGCTTGTTGTGTGACGTGCAGCTTGTGTGTCTTCAGGCGACGTGGAGCAGGTGGAGGGAGCCGAGAAAATCACAGTGAGGATCTTCAAGAGCATCACTCTGGTTCATGAAGCCGGCATGGTGCTGCTGGAGGTCAGACACACACAAACACACACACACACACACACAAAGCTTGTGAACAGAAACAGCAGTTGCTGCGTTTCTGTCAGTTTGTAGATTGTCAGAAGTTTTATTTGTTCTGCTCTTTTTTCACTGTAGTTATTAAATGTAATAATTCAAATGTTTATATTTAAATGACTTTATTCATTTAAAGCTGCAGCGATTAATTCCTCAGAGAGAAAAAACTCAACTATCTTTATCATCACTTAGTCATTTAGGTTATATTTAAGCAAAAATGTCAAATATTTAATGGGTTTAAGGTTCTCAGGATGTAAGCGATCCTCATAGTGGCACTTTGTGATGCTGTATCGGTTCAGATCTGCAGCTTAACTTTTGTTGCATAGTTCCCACCATGAATGGAAAACAAAACAGTGGTTCAACAATCGTCCCAAAACAGATTCATGGTTGATGATCTGACGTTAAAAAAAAGAAATTTTTTTTAAAAAAAGGGCGAAATTTGGCCTCAACTAACTAAACCGGCATCGGCAGCCAAATACTGCCTGTGTGTTCCGGCCACTTCCACCCCAGGGGTGCGCTACGACGGGGTGGAAGTGGCTGGAATGTGCACAAGCGCACCAGTTAACTAGGTGTGAAATCCAGCAATACGTAGTGTTCTAACGATGTTAACAACAAATGAGCCTTCCAGCATCAAGCCCTCCTTGTATCTCGACCTCCGTCTTGACAATCCGACAGCCTTGCTATCCGACATAAAAGAAGGTTTTACATTTAGTGTCGGATTATCGAGTCACGACTGTCTACTTGTCTTGCGTTTCTGCAGCAGCCGCCACTGATTCTTTATCAACAAACATTTAGATTTGCTTCCAGCAGCATCAGTCAGTTCTAACGCTGGTATTACACGTTAGTGTGCTGATGAAACAGGAATAACTGAGTTACAGCGTCTTCATTACGACAAAGTTAAATATTGCAGCAAAATCAAAACTAACGATGGATTCAGTGAAATACGGTATAAACAGTTTTGGTATAAATCGGTCCTTAATGTTGTGTTCTAACTGTGTGTTCTCGCCTCAGTGGGTCGCCAACCCGCTCAACGACATGTACGCTGACGCTGTCACCACGGTGGTCCTGGAGGTCCAGTCTAACCCCAACGCCCAGAAGTGTCAGTAAACGCAACACGACAGCCTGCAGCATGAAGTTCGGTGACTCAGCAGGCTCTGTGACGTTTGTGTGTTTGTTTGTTTCAGTCCTGGAAGGCAAGAAAGAAACCTTCGACATGGAGTTGTTTGTGGAGCGGCTGGAGCTCATGCTGCAGTGAGTGCACACCACACACTGGTGGACGTTTGGTTTAATGTCTGTGACGTGCCAGTCGAGTGGAGTCTGACTGAAACAACATGACAAGTAACAGAAAGTTCCAGCTCTTCAGACTGTTACCTGCTGCAGTTTGAAACTCCACCCACCTGGCACTCCTCACATCTTAAAACAAACAAACCCTCTGTGCGAGGGACGTAACACAGCAAGAAAACTCTAAAAATAAAATAAGTAACTAACCAAACTTTTAGAAAATCTGAATTTTGAATGCCTTAATGTTAACTTATTTTATATGACTCTGTTTTAAATTTCTTTGGACTCACCTGTTTACCAGTTGAAATATTTAAAATAAAATATTATTATTATTAAAATTAAATATTTAAATAGACAAGAATTTAACAAAAGTATCCGTAAAGACTCTTTTTTTTTTTTTTAACTTTGCTATTAAAGTCAGTCGACAGGAGGATAACATGAACAATGTGTGCTTCTTTGCAGCGACATGTTCGGGGACGACTGCGTGAATTTCAAAGACAGCAAAAATTTGAATGTGACTGTGGGCGGAGTCACGGCTTCTGTCGACCCAGAAACCAGAGTGAGTACAAGCAGTGGGCGGAGTCTAATGAAGAGCACGAGGCTGAAATGTTCATTACATCCAAGAAACACATCATAGTGGAGTAATGATGCAGAGTTTGTCCTGAGGGTGGCAGCAGAGGAAAGGTCACGGCGCGGTGACCTGTTCGGGACAAAACTTACAGCTAGCATGTCTGTTTATTTGTCTTATTGTTCTCTGATTTGGCTGCAAGGTGCTCGGTGATTAGCATCGTTGCCTCACGGAAAGAAGGTCGCCGGTTCACGTCCCGGTTGGGACACCCGGGATCTTTCTGTGTGTAGTCTCCATGTTCTCCCCGTGCAGCGTGGGTTCTCTCCGGGTTCTCCAGCTTCCTCCCACACAGTCCAAAAACATGTTGAGGTTAATTGGTGATTCTAAATTGTCCGTAGGTGTGAATGTGAGTGTGCTTGGTTGTCTGTCTCTAAGTGTAGCCCTGTGATAGACTGGTGACCTGTCCAGGGTGTCCCCTGCCTTCACCCTGAGTCAGCTGAGATAGGCTCCAGCCCCCCATGACCCTCGTGAGAACTAAGGTGTATAGATAATGGATGGATTGGATGTTCTCTGATTTAATGTTAACATCCAAACCAGCAGCGTCTCAAACTCAGCTGTGTTGCACCACAAAAGGAAACACTTTTGAAATTTACTGACAACTAACTGCCTTACTGGCCACAGTCGGAGCTTCCTGTTTCTCTTTTAATACATCGTGACATGTGAGGTATACGACTGCATTTTTCGTGTCTAAAACTTCACACTCAAACTGGGACTCTCAACTAGAGCTGACACAGTAAGACGATTAGTCAGTGAACAGAAACATAATCTATCTTGTTTACTATGTGTTTTAGTAGCTTTTCAAGCAAAAGTAGTTCAAATATGCGAAACAACTACAGATTTCAGCATCTTAAAAGAAAGGATTTGCTCTCATTTTAATGTAAACTGAATATTTTTATAGTTTCATTTCCTAAAACAGAGGAATAAAGACAAAAAAATGTCAAAGTGGACAAGCTTGTCTTCTGCCACTTCTCAGATATGCATTGTATTCTAAGAATTATGGGTAAAAAGAGGTGATTCAGTGCTGACACAAAGTGGGATATATAAGCTGATAAATTAAAGTACTTGCTGAATAGTTTCTGGCCTTGGAACAGATAAAAACCTGCTTTTACGTTCTGCGTGTTAAGAAAGAAACATAAGAAATGGCGTGCTGCCCTTGAGCTGACCTCTGACCTGTCTGTGCCGCTCTGCAGTCGGTGGTTTGTGCGGAGGACGATTCTCTGAGGGAGATGGTGGAAGTCGCCGTCCATCGGCTCTACGACGCCCTCAGCCCGGCCTTCTGACAGGCCACGGCCACTCCGTGATGTCACAGGGCAGGGAGGCACCTGTCGAGCACCTGAGGAGTTTATGTTCCAGGAGACGTTTTTCTACTGATTTGCTATGAAACTGTTGCCATGGCAACTTTGTGATTATTTGTTTATGTGAAAATAAACAGTTGTTTTTCCAATTAAAGTTTTTTTTCCTTGATTTCACTGTTTCTAATTCACACTCTGTAATGTCTCTGTTGGGACTCTCGGGCTCATGCTAACTGCATTCTTCATCTCCGCTGACTGAGAAGTCACATAAAACACCAAAACCTCAACCTCCTGTTATGGGAGCAGCAGAACAGACCACTTTAACCCACAGGGGTCAGTTTTAAAAAACACAGAGGTCCTTTGACATCTGACGAGAAACACTGCAGGACATTCGGTTATTATTCAACAATAACTTTTATTTCTCATCCAAAAAACAGACATCACAGTGTGACTGAAGGTAAACATGTTAAACACAAAAACATCATCTGCATAGAAGAACACAACGTTAAAAATACTGACTGCAGTGCATCTGAATACCACAGAAGAAGAGAAGGCACATTGACTGATTGTCATTTTAAAAAATAAAGACTTTAACAGCAGCCTGGTTCTCAGTTCAAACAAGAAAACGTAAAAAATGTGACACTTGATACAATACAAACAGATTTTATCATAACTAAAAATAAATGCACAGCTGTAAAAATGCCATTTTTTTGACTGAAGTTTGGTTTATAGCTTCTTTTGTGTCCAGTCAGACTTGGAAGTGAGACAGATGTTGGTTTATTATGAGTCTGAAAAACAAATCAAGTCATTTTTCTGCAGACAAAAACGATCCATGGATACGTCAACATTATGATCCTGTTTTGTTTGCTGTTTTTGCAGAATTTTTCAGACACACTTTTGGACAATGAGATTGTCAAACTTCTTGTTTTATAAATTCTGTATAAAATATGGCTGCTAATGGTTTAGAAAAAAATGAAAATCTATTATAAAACATTAGGAGACCAAAAATATTCAGTTTAGGACCAAAAAAAGAATCAAATTCTCACTTTTCAAATCCTCAAACTGATAAATTTTAGGATATTTTTTCTTAAAAACTGTAAATGTTTAGAACATTGCCAGTTAATTTTCACTGAGATTGGTGGAAATAGACATGAAATACAGAAAGCAGAGCACCGGGCTTCACAGGGATATAAAATGTTTTGTGCAATACATATAGAAACTATGTGGCTCAGCGGGTTGAGCGAGGCACTAACACTGTTGGGGTTCAAGTCCCACTGAGACATCTGACGTTGCAGCACTTTACTCGTAAGAGTTTCGCTGGTGAAAAAGATTTTACTGCCAATGATCGCGATTGATGAATCCCAAGTAAAAAGTAAAACATTCACTTGAGAAGGTGAAGCGTTGGATGTTCTGTTGACAAATTGCTGCAGCTCTACGCACCTTTTACATCTGTGACTACTGGAAGCAAATATCTAAAGCTTCAAATAAAACACAGAAGACAGAGTTCTGTCGCAATAAACGTGGATGAGATGTTTACATTTGAGCAGCAGTGATGAAAGTCGAGCCAGAGAACAGGCTGCTGGTAAACCTGCTCTTCATGCTGCTCAGCTGACTCACAAACTGTAAACACCTTCACTGCTGTCACACAGGAACCCCCAATATAAGTTACCTTATTGTACGGGATGCCAAAATAAGATTTAGTATGTTCCCATACACATTATGTCAAAGTAAGTATGCCCAAAATACCAGGACGTCCCACATCCGGTCGGATTTTGTAAGACAGCATGTTTTACAGGCCGTTCTGACCCACAATCCTCTGCACAGTTACGTCACGTCACAGAGTCTTGTGCGAGTGTAAACTAGTTTCAGCCACTGAAAGCAGACAGATGACAACTCATGTTGTATTTTAAACTGCAACAGACGTACGAGGAAGGCGCAATATTATGACAAAGTAGCCTGTTGCGATTGTATGCACACGGCGTGCAGCAGTTTATAGTTTGTAAGGGCAGCTGTAGGACGCACTGAAAGGAAAGAGACAAAGTATGTGATTTGGAACGAAGCCTGAGATGCTTCTGCAGCTTTGGAGAAGCTGACAACAACAACAACGACTTTTAAAGTTCAGGAACAAAAATGAATGTGGGATGTTCATGAACTAACACTAACGTGGCTGCCCAGGTATTGGCATTAATATGGAATACTAGGAATCTAACACGAGTGTGTTGAGATGTACGAGTCTGGATCAAAGTGGAGGAAGTTTTTGACGTTTTTAGATCATTTCTAAAATCTGAGAGAAGCAGGAGTCTGACCTTATTTGAATAAAAGTCTACTGCCTGAGTAAAAGTGAGAAAACATCTGATGGGATTGGCTGATTGTCGCTGCTACAGACACGTGTCGGTACTGAGGTGCAACAGACTTGAGACACATGGTTTGACCTGAATCGTCTCAAGTGTTAAGAGGACGGATCCTGAAGTGGACTCAAGCTGAGGAGGGATGGGGTTTGACCTCAGCACGTTTTTTCTGACTTGAACTAAACCTGATTTTATCTCATGGCTGGATCTTTGTTTCCACAGAAACACGTTTGGCAGCAGCTGTTAACGCGGGACCAGAGCTACACTGAAAAAGGGAAGAAGGTGCAGCAGCGTTTAGAATCTCAGCACTGCGTCTCTTTGCTGTCGATCTGATGTTGTCTCTGCAGCCTGAACATCTTCGCCTTCTCGCTGCGACTTGACACACTTTTCTCCGTCAGGTCCTCAAAGGAGCGCCGGGCTGCCCCCACCGGCCGCACGAACGCCTCCTCCAGGGCCTCCTCGTCCAGGTGGGAGTCGAGGCTGGGGTCCTCGTGGATGGTGGCCATGCGGGGGCTGTCCAGAGGTGGGGGGGTAGGGCCAGCGCTGGGGACCGGAGGAGTGCTGGTCTGCTGGGGGCCGCTGGGCTGGAAGCGCATGGGAGCAGTGGGGAAGGTGGGAGGTTTGAAGATCCGAACAGGTGCCGAATCCAGGCTGCTGAGGAGCTCGGCATTCTGGGAAAATAAACACCCACAGTCAATCTACAAGTGAATTACTAGACTGTGAAAAATGTAAATTAAGCTACCAGCTGTATGGTGCTTTATCAACACTGTATTGGCTTTAAACAGCTTTTTATTGTCAGCAGCATGTTTCAAAGCGGCTTCGATCCACCGTCACGTCGTTCTCTCATCTGTTGGTCTCCTTACATGCGGCTTCCTGTTAGTTCTACCCATTTCTAACTGAAATTCATCGGTAAATACGACTTTTTTTTTTTTTTTTTTTAAATCGCTGTGTGTAAAACGCCGCTATGTCGTAGGCCAGCCCAAGTATTCGGTCTTGTTTCTCCTGCTACAAGGTGGTTTAAATCCTTGGAGACATTCTTTGGGCAGGAATCTTGCTGATTGGACTCTTGAGTTCTTTATTTAGTAAATTCAGTATGTGATGAAGCTGCTTTTCTATCTCTCAGTGAACAAAACTGGATGTTTTGATCTTTGTCCACTATAACAATCCGCCTCCTGACACCGTCACTTAGTACTCATTGAGAAATAGATTAGAGACTGACATATGTCTGCTGCGTTTTAGATGTCAGAACCTCTTGTGCTTTTAGATGTTTCTGATTATTTTTAGTGATGCGTTCGATGTGTTTATACTCACGCTGGGGAAGAAGAGAGACTTGGTGGTCTGTTCATATTGTTTATCCAGCTTCTTGTCCTGAAAGCACAAAGAGACGCAGGGTGAGAAACAGGACTCGCATTCAGACCTGAAACACCAACATCTCAGGGATGTTGAGACATCTTCTGACTTTAAACACCTGCAGCTCTTATATATGAATGGATTATGTTTAGGATGGATCACAGGTGTAATAATGAACAGAGTGGAGTCTCACCACACAGTGCACCAGGATGCTGAAAGGAACCCAGAAGAGCAGAGAGAACGCCACCACAGAGCCCACGATGTTGTCGGCCAGGAACTTCCCAAACGTGTTGATGTCCAGCTTGTCGATGAAGTCCCACAGACGTTCCACCACATCCTGTACCTGCTTCATGCACTTCCCCTGCAGACACAGCAGGCACATAGTCACGCCTCCTGCTATCTTTAATGAAAAGTGTTACATGTGCGTTTTAATCGTCTCACCGCTCCGTCACAGAAGCCCACGGTGCAGGGTTTTCCTTTTCGCAGGTACAGGAAGCTGCCCGTCTGGTCCTGGTAGGGGGCGCAGACGCCGCTGCTGCTCCGACAGCACACTTTACACGATGAGTTGGTTTCTGGGGGTAAAAGCAGATACACACTATTTATCTTCAAAAACAAAACAGGACTGCAGTCTGGCTTTAAAAGCACTCAATACTGTTTTTAAACTGTATAAATGATTAGTCAATACTTTAAGTCTTAATAAGATATGGGGGAGCTTTAAGGATTTGTCCCTCACATCCAGATAAATACCACATTTAGACGTCAACACTTTATCTATACGTTAGCATTTACAGGTAACATACTACCACATCCAGAGGCAATCGAAGTCGATTCACACGTCTTAACCATTTGTCACTAGATAGTACTTGTCTAATTGTAAATCTGTCCATATGGATGGAACGAAACATTTGTATGATGAATTTAAACTTTTCATGACAGTTCTACTAGATTGTGAAACTCATCAATGTCAATTTTTACTTGAGGCGTCCCTCAGGGCTCAGTACTAGGTCCTTCATATTTTCAATTTACATGTCAATTTGTAGCATCCAGATTCAGATTTGTCGTACAACTGTTTTCAAACAAGGAACAGCGGGGAAATGTCCTACCGTTGCAGGCGCAGGGCTGCAGATTTAAGATGGCCTGACAGAACGGAATGCACTCTCCGTTCAGACACTCTCCGTTGTCCAAACACACCGTTTTATCGGGAGCGTTTTCCGGAGGGGGACATTCGCTGCTGTTTCCTGTCAACACAAAGCAGATTGTTAATTTCTACCTAAAGGCTGGGTTTTTTTTATTTATCTTTTTATCTATGACATATTTTCACTCACTTTCTATTTCATCCCTTTGCCTTTGGGTTAAAATGACAGGTTGTGTTATTAACATGATGAGAAGAAGCTTGATTCCTGTTGTTACTGCACCACTTACTGCTTTGATAAGTGACTTTGATTTAGTATCATACTATTTAACCACAATTTTACTAATAATGTGCTCACTTGTGGTTTTATTCAAATAAAAAGCTGCTTTTCAACTAGATATAAATGTTCATTCAATGTTGGAAACTTAATTACTCTTTAACTGTATCTTTGTCTCATAAGAATGCTGTTACCATTATCATCCCACTTTGCTCAGAGTCACTAAATATGTCAGAGAAATGTAGAGGGAAAGTGTAAAGTGACCTGAAAAGAGAATACTCAAAGTACAAGTACCTCAAATGTATACTCTTAAAGTACTTGAGTAAATGTTCTTGGTTACATCCCTGATAATCAATGTTGTTTGACTTTTGCCGTGAAAGCTGACCTGTGCAGTAGGAGTGTCCTTTACAGGTGGCGTCTATGGGCTCCTGACAGACTTCACCTTCAGACTCAAACCTGCAGTTCTTGCAGCACGCACTGTTCCTGTCACTGAACAGGGAAACTGTCGATTAGCTCAGACTGTCACAGTGCAGGACAAACATGGGACAAACAGGAAGCAGGGGTTAAATGTGGAAAAAACACAGGACAAACCAGATGAGACAAACAGAGGACACATTAGACAAAGATTAAACAAACACTGGTACAAACATGGGATGAGTGTATAACAAATGTGGGACAAAAATGTGACAGACTTGGGATAAACAATGGACAGATGTGGGACAAATACCAAAAAACAGGGGACACACACTGGACAAACACATGACAAAGGCTGGACATCATGGGACACACCCAATACAACCGGGACATACAGAGTGCACACTTGGGGAAAAGACAAAAAACAAACACAAGACAAGCATGGGACAAACACTAGACAAACACTGGGAAGACATGGGACAAAATGTAAAAATTGAGGACAAACAATGGACACATGGGGTAAATGTGTAAAAAACACAAGACAAACAAGATGAGACAAACATGGGACACATTAGACAAAGATTAAACAAACACTGGTGCAAACATGGGATGAGTATATAACAAATGTGGGACAAAAATGTGACAGACTTGGGACAAACACTGGACAGATGCAGGATAAACTTGAAACAGACATGGGCAGACATGGGACAAACAACGAGGACAACACGGGACAAAGATTGTACATTAATGGAACAAACACAGGACAAACAATGGAAAAATGCATGACAAAAAAACAAAAACTGGACAAACAATGAAATCGTAGGACAAACACAGGAGAACACAGTGGTTTCACTCTGACCTGCACTGAGCTCCGACTCTCAGCCTGCAGTGGTCGGTGCAGCATCGGTCTGAGTTGATGTGCAGCAGTCCCGGGTCGCACTCCTCCCCCTGCTCCACCCGAGAGTTCCCGCACACATTGATGTTTCTCTCTTTGAAGCAGGACGGAGCCTTCGTCCTCAGACGCTTCACTATGGAGCGCTTACTGCAGTTGGAGAAGAGCTGGACACAGAGGAGAAAGACACAGATACTGGTAAGAAATGGTGAAGATTTAAGATGAAACAGGTTTTCAGTAAACCAGTATAGGACCACATTCATTTCACTTAGTTCTTGAGGTACTTCGGTCACTGACACTGGATCTAACAGCTGTTGTTCCCTACACTGGACTGTCATTACACACTGGATAGCCACAAGTCCACCTTCATAGTTGTTAGAATTTTTATTGGTCAGCTGCCACCACAAGTAAAATCTAATTATTTGGAAAACACTTGAAGGGGAGATTGGCATCATGAATGATTAGCTGATAAATCTGCAGAAATTATTCATCCATTATCTACACACCGCTTAATCCTCACTAGGGTCGTGGGGGGCTGGAGTCTATCCCAGCTGACTCAGGGTGAAGGCAGGTTCACCTGGACAGGTAACCAGTCTATCACAGGGCTACACTTAGAGACAGACAACCAAGCACACTCACATTCACACCTACGGACAATTTAGAATCACCAATTAACCTCAACATGTTTTTGGACTGTGTGGGAGGAAGCCGGAGAACCCGGAGAGAACCCACGCTGCACGGGGAGAACATGGAGACTCCACGCAGAAAGATCCCGGGTGTCCTCACCGGGAGACGAATTGACAAACTACTTGCTGCGAGGCAACGGTGCTAACAACCGAGACACCTAGCAGAGGGCTTTTTTTTTTTTTTTTTTTTAAAAAGGCAGGAAAGCTCGATTTAAATGGCCAGGCTCATCATTTTAATCAACCCATACAGTCGCCCAACATTGCATGTCGGCAAGAAGAACAAGAGCAAAGACTCAAACCGTGAAATCTGATGTGTAAATGTGTGGTGTTTGCTTTGTGAAGTTAGTTTTTAGTGGCTAGTGTGTGTAAAGTAACCGAATTTGCGCGTTTTAGGACACCAGTTGATATCTGACACAGATTTCTGTTTGCTAATGTGAAGGCGAGTAAATGCGAGCTGCACCTTGTTGTTGACGTGGTCTCCGCTCACGGCGATGGGATACATGACGTATTTCCCGCCCTGGTCCTCTCGGGGGGCGCAGTACGGGATGTTGTCTGGATCGTGCTCTGCTCCGAAGTTATGGCCGAGCTCATGAGTCGTCACCAGGTCTGCTTCCTGCGGAGATGACAACAAACTGCGCTTATTATTTCTGAGCAGAATAGCGAGGACTCTTTCACTTCCACTGTCACTCAGCTACTTCTTCTTTCTCAGATTCATAGTGTTGTTGGCTCATTCTTTGATCAGACTGATTATCATGTGATAAAAACCTTAGTCAGGATGGTCTTCCCGTAGTTCTTGGTACTGGTGAGGCCTGTGTTGAGGTAGATCGCTCCGTGCTCGTTTGTAGACGAAGGACAAGCTGGAGATCAAAAACACGAGGTGGGATTTATGAACACGAGGAGAGCGACTGTTTGGAATTAGTGATCAGAGAACCGCTGTGTGAAGCAGCAGGACGCACCTTTGGAGCAGAGGCCTCCGGGGATGTCGGGTTTGGACGGAGCGACGTAGGCCAGACCCAGAGTGCCTTCATCAAAGTCCTGGTAGGTGAAGAGGTGAGCCAGGCAGACGTTGGAGGCCTTCTCAGCGATGTCCACGCTGAACTGCTGCAAGAAGAACGAACAGCAGAGATCTCAGAGCAGACGCCACACTCACTACTGTAAACATGCTGACAACAAATCCTATGTGCAGAACCAAAGCAGCACTGAATGTACTTTACATTCTAAAAGCTCTTTTATCACACTGGAAGTTCTTTTACACATTAAAACACCTTTTATCCACAATAAATGTTCTTTTTTTTTCACATGAAACGCTGCTTTTCACATTTAAAGCCTTTTTGCTCACATTAAAAGCTCTTTTCACATCAAAACCTCTTGTTTTCTTACATAACATTAGAAGTGCTTTGGTCAGATTAAAAGTTCTTTAAAATCTCTTTTCCTCTTTTATAGCTCCTCTTCACTTTAAAACCTTTTTTTCATATCAACAGCTGTTTTTACAGATCTTGATCTTTGTTTTCACACTTTGGAAGTTTTCACATTGAAACCTCTACAAACTACAAAGATCTAAAGCTCTTTTTTTTTTTACAGAAGAAAAGTTGTTTTTTTCATATCAAAACCTCTTAAAAGCCTATTTTTGACATTGTATTTTTTTTTCTTTTTTTGGTCCCACATGTTAAACACATACATAAAGTGTATTGCTGCCACAAACAGTCACTAGAATAACATTTACACATGCTAATAACTGCACATCTGTATCTGACATCTGAACCCGTGGGTAGAGCAGCATTTACACCTATTTAAACATGTTATTATAATTGTGCTTACAATTTGATTCCAAAAATTAAAGTATACATCTATGAGTTGTTTTAAAAGATTTAAATCTTCAGTCTGAAGCAATGGGCTTGGACTTGAGAGCTACAGAGTCATGAAGTCAGAAACTATCAGGAAATGAAATAAACACAGGGTTTAAACACAGGAAGTGTTGACGAGTAACACCTGTCTAGTTCTTTACATCCAACAGCGGCCAGCGTTAGCATGTTAGCTTCATGTCTGTCAGGTGTTACCTCCAGCAGCTTCTTGACATCCCAGACATCTCGGTCCTTCAAAGGGCTTCCTCTCATGTTGAAGTGACTTTTTCCTGGAGCAACAGGAGTCGGACTCTTCTCTATGATGATCTGAGAGCAGACACGCAGCAGCACATTCACATCGGCACCACAGATAGTTAGTTCATTTTGACAGTTAATGATGTAGGTGACTTTGACAGGGGTAAATGATGAGCCAATTTTAAACTGAAATCACATTTTGCAACGATGCAATTGGCAAACTGCAAAAGGCTGTGGTTTAGATATATATTATGCAGCGCCTCTGATGCAGGGTTTTGACGGGTGTGTCGATGATTTTACTAATTCATGCATCTCGTGGTAATGTTGCATCTCATATTTTAAATCTGTTTCATATTTTAGATCATCAAGAAATAAATCACAATATCTGTCAGAAAAATCCCAAAGAGATATTTTTCCCAAATCATTCATCTCTAAGCTGCGGTGGATGTAGTCGTGTCAGGAGATCAGACCTCCTCAAAATGTCAAGTGTGGCTGTCAAATGTGGACCCGAAGTCACAGTTAAGTTGTACAAGTGAAGAAACAGACACACAGTTCAATGTTAGGGTTTAAAGTCTGTGTTGGGACCGACATCAGCTCATTTTAAACCAGCTTTAACAAGGCAAGTTTTAGCTCCTGATGGTCGACGTCACACTCCTCACCTGCTGGATCTGAACGCCGTAACCGCTGAACTCATCATCCCACGACGTGTTTCTGTAGATGTCGTCCACGCGGTCGATCAGTTCGATCTGAAAGCACAGTTGAGGCGGTTAAAGTGACGGGGCGAAGGTGTTGGCCGTTAAACTGAAGCTGAGTGGACGGTTATCTGACCAGGTAGTTGAGGGTGGTGCTCTCCTCCTCCCGGCCCATGTGTTTGAAGAAGCGATGGTCGGCCACCAGCAGCAGAGGACAGGTGTTCTTCTTGTGGTCATGGACCTGACGTTTCTCCCTGAACACAGACTCTGAGCAGAAAAGGACAAAAGTCAGGACAAAACACAACAAAAGACTTCAAATAAACATGTAGGAGCTTTTGTCTAAGTGGGTGAAAGTGTCCATTTCATTTACTTATTTTCTAAGCGTATATTGATATTTATGTTCGCATGCTGGTAATACTAGTTGCTTCACAGAAAGTACCTTTAACTGTCCATTATTCTAAAAGCTTTTACTAAGTAGCAGCTTCAGGAAGTGTTGAGTTACTGGCAGCAGCTTAGATGCTGTAGGTCAGTTACGCCGTATGGACTAGAGTTTGTTCATCTTGGTGGCGTTACAACTTGATCATGCAGCATTTTAGTAGACATGTAACTTTAAGCATGCAGACTGCTCTTATTTTACAACAAATTTTTTTTGGTCACATCAAAATCTTTTTCAAAATAAAACCTATTTTTTAATTTTGAACGCTCTTTTTTTAATTGAAAGCTTTTTTAAAAATTGAAATCTCAATATTTTTTTTGTTGTTTTTTTGTTTACGTCAAAACCTCCTTCTTCATATCAAAAGCTCATTTTACTATTCAAAACCTCTTTTTGTATGTAGAAAGCTCTTTCCAGCTCCAAAGCTCATGATTCATTGAAAGCTGTTGAATTGACATAAAAACCTCTGTGTGCATGTGAAGACTTTTCTGTTGGCGAATTACACAGAAACCTTGTTTTGTGAAGCAGCTCCAGGAAATGAACTGTATTTGTCGACACAATTTGCGCTGACCAGCACTGATTGTTACAACACAGCAAGCCTTTTCTTGTTTTTAAATCAATTTTTGAAGCAGATCAGTTTCATATCTGCAGTGTGGAACAGCAAAAGAGGAGACGTCACAGTGAACTGTGCTGGGAGAAAGCTGCAGTCGTTAGGTTCTGGTTTAGCACCATAATGAAGTCTTGATATATAAGTGAAGTTGAAGACTAAACACTTAAAAGAGAAACTCCTCTTGGCAGGTTGTTCCTAACATCTACCAACCTTCTTCCTCCTGCTCGGCCAGCATGACTGCTCTGACGCTGTCGGGGAGGAGCTGGTTGGGGTCCGAGGTCACGTAGCCGCAGACTGAAGGCTGCTGCAGGCGGCTGATGTTCCTGATGTCCTCCGAGCGGTAGATCAGGAGACGACCATCAGGGGGCGCCGACGTGAACCTCCACAGAGGCTGAACAGAGGAGAGAGGGAAAATCCCAGCGGAGACATCAGGCGGACTTTCATGGATGTTAATGTGAGTCTGTTGGTTTTTGGTTTTTCATGTAGCGCCACCAGCAGGTCAAAGTCTTCACCTACTATGTGGGAGGTCTAAACATCTAATAGACGGATTTGAGGACTGTTTGGATTCCCAATAAAGTGCTGAGAGTCTGGAAGTGTCAGTGTGGACAACCTCTCCTTGTCCTTATATTTGTGTTTTACCTCAACGTTGTACTCGGCCTCATCAGTCAGGATGCGAGCTGAGAACTCGTGGTCATCTATGTGAGCCTGAACACGAGAGTTTTCCTCCCCTGGAAGAGAAAAAAACCAAAGGATCAGTCTGGTGATACTCTATATTTTTCTTGACAGCTTATCCTTGAAGGTCACTGGGTTTCAGACAACATCCACAAGAAGCCTGAAAGTCTAAACTCTTCATCACGCACATCTGGAACCTTAAGACCTCTAAAACCTCCACAGGGACCTCTACACATGGACACTATCAAGTATCAAAACACGTTGCTTCCGACCTCATTGTTCTTTCTTGTTTCAAGAAGTCAGTCTGACTCATCTGTCTTAATGTCATCATGCAGAAAAGGAGAATTTATGACTATAAATCAGCTGATCTGACTGTGAGTGTCTCATTAGACAGAAACATCCTGCCCTCTGAACCCGACATTACCGATGACGTGTCCGGTGAAGTAGTTGTGTCTGTTGACCGGGTAGCTTCGCTCTCGGCCGTCCTCGTCCACGACGACGGCTCTGAAGTCCTCAGTGAAGAGCTCGTCGTTGGTCCTCAGGTACAGTCTGAACTGCCTACACACAGCAGGAGGAGACGGCACTCAGGTTATATGAAACAAGGTGAAAAAGCGGCACTAAGCTGTCTGAAATGTAGAGTCTGACCTCTGCAGGGCGTTGAAGCTGAGCAGTTTCTCCACGTGAGTTTGAGTTTGGACGTCGCGGCGGCGGACGGAGTGAGTCTGCAGGCTGGCGAGAGGAAGGACGTCGAAGTCATCCAGCATCGACCTGAGAGAGGCTGAAGAGGAAACAGACCAGCAGGTTCGTGTTTATCATCCTTTATAGTTGCTTACTTTATCTGACAGAGAAATTACCTTTTGTTATGGCTAAATGAGACACTCTTATGAGCTAATCTAGGCTGCTATGATGTGTTTTAAGGTCACACATGACAAGGAGTTGACGGGAATTCAAATAAATGAATAAATCAACTTTCCTCTTCCTCCTGACAGCACCAACTACCAATTAAAAGTCACTGAGGTTCCTCCTCCAACATCATGTCTTTGTGCGGTCCGGTCACAGGCCATATTTTCCTTTGCCAGACGACAGGGGAAGAACCCTCTGGTGTTTTGAACCCAGCCTTGACAAGACTCCACAGTTAGTTTTTCCCAATTACTAAAAGGCCCCATTCTCTGAACTGAATCCTCAGTGGCCTAAATTCATTTTTCAAATCAAACAGTCCTTTGACCAAACCTTAAACACTGCTCTGGTGCTTAGACTCCGTTTGAAAAACTCATCTTCTTGTAATTGTAAACACTGGCAGCAAAAATGTGAACACAACTCCAACACAGCTGTCATCTTTAACAACTCCAAACTGAACACACGTTTCTAATGATGTGATCGGACCAGAATAAAATCTGACAGCCCTACGCCAGGGAACGCTAGTGGAGCCAATGGAACAACGGGCCTGTGATGATGTGACCGTGGAGTCTTGTCAAGGCTGGGCTCGACACACCAGAGGGTTCTTCCCCCGTCGTCTGGCAAAGGAAAATAAATCCTGTGACGTGGATGAAGTCCTCTGGCCGCGATGCTGGAGAATGAACCTCAGTGACTTTGATTGTGCAGTATTCTGCTTTTCATTTATTTTTGTTGTATTTTTTTTGTTATGAAAGTGCTGAATGTAGATATCACTTTGACTACAACACTTTTTTGCTTAATGCAGTTACAAGAAACTAAATTATGTTCTGTACTGTCCAACGAATGCTCTGTGGTGGATATATGTGAAGAGTTCATTTGCAAAAACAGATAACTCCATCTTCACAAACCTTCAGAAAACACACTTTTCCATCGTCTGCCTGAGACAATATCAATGGAACTTAAGTTATCTCTGTTCTTGTCATTTCTACTGAGTCAAATCCACTCAACTTCAGCTTGATTGATATTATCTCAAGCAAACAAAAAATAAGTTTTCTGTTTTTGCAAATGAACTCTTCATTTGTACTCGCTGTGTGTTTGATCTGAACACACTGTTTGGTTTTGAACACAAGGTTTTGAGGTGATAGTTTGATTGTGACAGAAAAGTCTGGGGTTCTGTGAATGTAGTTTGAGTTTTTTGATTTGTGTTGAAGGTTTTGAGAGAACGGGTGGGGGGTTTCAAGAAATGTTTTAGCAATTGGGAAAAACTAATTTCTAGTTTTGAGGTGTAACCCAAAATTATAGCTTAAAAAGACAAAACTCTGGCTAAATATCTCCTGATTTTGACTTGCCTCTTGCCTTGATTTGGATGTTTGGGTTCTTCTACATGTGAACTGCAACTTTTTATCTGGATAATAATAACTATCTTATAACATTTATACAACACTGTGAGTAGTAAATAAGTAGTATATAAAATATAAACATGTTTTTGGACTGTGGGAGGAAGCCAGAGAACCCAAAGAGAACCCACATTGCACGGGGAGAATATCAAACTCCACACAGAAAGATCCTGGGTGTCCTCACCAGGACTCAAACCAGCGACCTTCTAGCTGCTAGGCAACGATGCTATCCACCGAGCCACAAATAGTTTCTTTGCATCTCATAATTAGGCCTTAAAGATCACATTTCAACCTGTAATCTCATCATTTTTTGAAGTTTTGACTCAGCAAACAACAAAAACAACACATTCACCAAGTGATGACATGTTGACATGATGTCTCCAGATTCTGATTCATTATCTTCAACTACTTTGACCTCAACATTCAAATATCTGACATGATCTCATAACTCTGGTGTGATGTGACCTCGAAGGTTAGTTAATAGTTTACTAGTAATATTTGGATCCATCATTTAGTATCTTGTAAGTTTCTCCTATAATATTAAGACTTATCCTGACCTAACTTTGATTGACTAGTTCATAATTTTGACATGAAATGAGATGCAGGAAAAGACTGTATTATTATTATTTATTATTATTATTATAATTGTGTCTCCAGACTTAAAATCTCCAACAGGTAATAACTTTGATTTATTAAACCACAATACTGAGATGTGACCTCAAATTCTGAATTAGTGTGTCCTAATGTAAACTTAAAAACTCAAATATTGAACTTATTAAGTCACAATTTAGGTGTTTGGTGTCATAAAACACACCAAAAAGATTCACTAATTCATGACTTACTGCCACATGTTGACTTATTTCATAACTTTTAACTCACTATCATATATATCTAACTTTAAAACTCACATGTTTGCCTTGTTCTGGGACATTTTGGACCTCTCGCTAGTGTTTTCTACCAGGAGTGGTCTCCCTCATCTCCAGCCAACATCAACTTTACTTTTAGCTTCATTTGCTAACTTCAGAAAACAGACATTAATAAAAGCCCACACGGTTATAAACGTGTTTTAGACACTTACTGAAGTCCTGTCCCGCTGTGTCTGCGGGCGGAGAGACGGCTGCCTCCGTTAAAACGATAAAAACGGTCATAAAAGTGAGCTGCCGTCGCATGTTGGACGGTTTGAAGTGACAGCCGGACTGAATGGAGGAAGGAGGTCGCTGCTCGTTTCTGCCCGAAGTCTCCACACATCGGATTTAACACTTTGACGCCATTTCAGACACAAAGTTCAGATTAAAGACGCATTTCTGGAGGAAAATCTCTTCCAGCTGAAGTCTTTGTTGTGTTTAGAGACAGACAAAAAAAAAAAAAAAAGAAAAACGCCTCCAGCCCGCAGAACCAGGAAGACCGAGAGCAGCCGAGGAAAGCTGGCGAGAAGCAGGCAGGGAGAGCGGAAGTGGACCGGACGGCCTTCAAAGTAAAGCAGAAGGTTTTAATATGTAACAGCACACTCATAACGCAATTAATCCTTCTGAGCAATAACAGCAGAGAAAAAAAGTGGCAAAATTTAGCTGTTTATAAAAAATAAAGTTAATTCAAATTAGCCTTTACTATCATAACTGTCAATACAAATTAAAATATTTTTTTGTTTATTGTAATTAATCTGTTTTTTATACTATTTAAGTAGGTTTTTTTTAGATAACTTTTTTAGAAAATATACTACGTTAAAGTCTGACCTGCGACGAAGCAAATAAAAAATTACCCCAAAAATCATAAGTAGTAAATAAATATGAAGAAGAATGAATACAATCTATAAAATAAAATAAATCAACGCAACTACTCAACTCACATCTTTTTGTACTCAGTTTTTCACATTTCAGTTGTTGTAACTGTTTTGTTGTTGTTGTTGCTGTTGTTGTTGTTGTTTAGACTATACAGAAGAAATAGTTTTAAATCAAATATTAACTATCTGCCTTAAATGTTTTTTAATTCAAAGAATACCGGGTTGTTATTATTATAGTTTGTTTTATATCGCCATACTTAAAGGCAACGTTTATTGAGGACTCAGCTTATGGTGCTCCACATAACAGTAAAATGGAAATTAAACACAAGCATTAGAACATAAACCCCCAAACTCTCTCCATTTTCAGACAACGCATTTATTTTGAAACCCCTCTCAGAGTTTTTTGTTTGTGTTATCGCGAGCTTGACGGGCTCGTGAGTGAAACACTGAAAAGCTGCTGTAACTAAAAAGCCAAACTGTGGCTGGACGTGATTCTTACTGCGGTGGAAGATTCACTTTAAAAAAAAAAAAAACAAGCTCAACAAGATGAACCTTAAAAAATATATAAATGTATTAAAGCATGCCTGTCGTCCATGTTATGTAAGAGAATAAGAGAGACATCTGGCAGATCTATTTATAACCTCTGATCTCATCCAAATCCTCCTCTACTCCAACACATATACAACAGAAAAACCTCTCTGATGGGGAGGAAATATCACAACTGTCCCTCACAATGTAAAGACACAGCAGGAAAACAACACTTCAGATGCTGTCTGAACATCCACACTCACTGTTAAACACATTGCAATAACGTGTTTATATGCCTATAACGTTTATGTATATGTTTATAGTACATGAATAATATAATGGAGACTTTATGGGTGTCGTTTTTTTATATTATACAGATTATATCAAAATTACAGGCCTCAAAGAGAAAAAAAAATCAGTGCACCTGAAGTGAGTACACCCCTGACTACTGACAAGTTTAAAAAACAAATGCATTGATTGAAACTACATTAAGTGCACCTGTGATTTACAGTTAGTCTAGCTGCACCTACATGGTTGAACTGTGAACACCAGAACTTTGTCTGTTTTGGACCTCTGGCCTATGACTTTCTATTTTTCTGCATCCACATGAACGATATTTTCCAGGAGAATTTAACAATCTCCTATGAGAGACTTCATAAAGGTTGAAAATGATACAGGAAGATTACTGACTCCCTAAAAATGGGTGGACACCGAACATCCGTATAAAATGACGGCACAGACGAGGTGCTGTTTTCACAGTCTGTCTCTTTGAAACAGAACCTCAAAATGGGCAAATTGGTTTCTGTGACAGCTCAGACATTGAGAATGATGAAGCATAATGTCAGTGGATGGTGCTCAAGGAAAACGCTCTTGGTTGGAAAACTACAAAATGGAACTTTGCGAAATCCCATGTAAAGGAGAAAGAATTTGGATTATGATCATTTTCAGCAGGTTTTAATTGCTGGGATCAAGCTGAACCCAGGGATAAAAGATGTCAGTAAATTTGAAGGTAATGGGAGGGTTAAGATACAGGTTTATCTGTTAAACATAACTTCATTTTTATCTTTTTTGTAGACACATTTAAGTCCACTTCTGTCTAGTTTTCCTGAGCTTTCCTTTCTGTGATGTCATGTAGAAACAGTTGGGAACAGTCAGTTTATCTACAGAGATGCTAGGAAACTTCCTACCAGGTTCTTTGATTCCAGAAACTTGTACAGCATGTGTTATCAGAGAAAAAACATTGTGGTGCTAATATTGTTTTAATGTGGGATGACAGCAGAGAGATTTCTATCCGACTTTGATTTGAGATTTTGTAAATTAATTAGTTAATTTGTTTGTTAGATCTCTTAGATGGTGATAATATAAAGTAGAGCTTGAATGCAGTACATATCTTTATGCTGACCGCAGGAACTCTGAACTGTGTGTTATTTCTGATTTTTTACAGCAGGGAGTGCAAGAAATTGTAGTTCATGTTGTGGACTGTGGGGGCAGCAGGGTGCTGGAGAGCGTTCAGTCTGCTGGAACGCGTAGAAGAAGAAGAAGGACAAAAAGAAGCAGCAGCAGAAGAAGAAGTCCCAAACAACCCACATGTGTCTGTGTGGACGGACTGCACATTGACATAAAAACGTTGTTTTAAGTCAACATGGACGAAGAATATACGGTAAATTCTGCTTCACATTTCCGTCTCTGTGGTAAAGTTGGTGTTAACGTCACGTAGCTAATAACGAGGACGAACGTTGTTGCTGTTGTTTGCTAATCGAGTCACACCAAACTTTGTAAACAATGTATGAGTTTTGGGATTTTTCGCGCACAACTCATTCTATAGCGACCTACAACAGATTTTAACAGGTGTAAGCGAATCATTATGAGCCCGTTTAACAATCGGCATATATTTACTTATTACTAACCTGAAAAATAATATATTAGTACGTCACTGTCTTTGGATTAGCTGCCTCACGAAATCAGATACTTCAGAACTAATTTAATAGATTTAATTTTTTAATTTAATTTTAATGTGCGTCAGTTTATATGCCGGAAGTCTCACTAAAGCTTTGAAGTGAAAACCGTTAAAATGCCTTCTAAGAATTCTTCACTAAAAATCCAACAAGCGTGGACAGATTAAAAAGCCACTTTCTGAATTGAGTTTCGCCTGTAAGTGCTGCTAATATTGTAGGAATGTTGTTGAAATCATTGTGTGTATTTTGACTGTTAAAGGCGTAAATGATGTTATTAAATTATTTAAATGCTGCACTTTCAGTCTCGTTTCTCTTACTGACACAGTGTTACAGTGTGATGATTTTTTTTCTCTATTAAATTCTGTAAAATATCAAAAACCGCATTTGCACATCTTTGTACGTCTTGTTGTCTTTGGCCAAAGAGTTAAACCTCCAAACATTCAGTTCACTGTTATGTTTAACTATTAAAACAGCAACCCTTCTTTCTTTAAACGCTCCAATCAGCAGAAATGTGGACGTTTCTTCCTGGTTTTGCTTTACAAAAAAAAATGACTGAAATGATAAAGTTAGCTGCATTATTATTCTGTTTCATTAGCTAGTGAATTATCGTGGTTGTGATTTCATCAAACAAGAAACCAATTAAATATTTCTAATATTTAAGCCGTGTA